AGCTCTGAACTAGAAAAGCAATCAGCTCCTATGTGATGGCCTTGAATGATGACTCAGAAAGGAGCCTATGATTTAAACACTTTACTGGGTCTCAACTACCAAATTTCCTCATTTGCTAAGATGACACTTCTTTACATAACTATATTATAACTTAAAGTCTAACTAGCACTGGGAAAATAAGATTACAACAGCAAATATGGCAATTTGGTTGACATGAACAAGAACTTTTTTGTACATAATCAACTTAGGCTCCTAGCAATACTAAATTATAAGTCATAAATGTTTTTGGCTCTTACTCTTTTATTTTTATAATATTTGTGCATTCAAAAAACATAAATTCATAAAAATTTCTTATAATGTAGGTCTGCAGAAGACTATATGTGGTTGACTCTAAAGAGAAATAAATATTCTGGTCTAAAAAGATAACCCACTAAAGCAGAAATCCATTAAAACACTAAAATTATTCCATCCAAATTACTTACGTTAACATATTATTGGGAAATTTTTATATCAGCATAAAATATCATGTGTGTATAATTTTAATAGTCTAAAAGTAGCTGATAAAATTCTACTGTAATTAAATCCTGAATATGCTGGATTCAAGGTAGTAAGTATGCACTAGTATCTTTTCTTGTCTAAAGATATTTCGTACAGTATTTTTCATCATTTCTTATTTTCCAACATACAATTGTTTCTCTGTTTTGAGAACTTCAGGTTTTCTTAATACTTATGTTTCACCTTTTATATCTGATGGTCTTATTGTACTACATATTTTATTCTACTTAAAAAATGAATTTCCATCTCATATAGCTAGATATTTATTCCTTGGAATTCTAACACATTGGTAATGTATACAGAAAAAAAGCAAAGTACTTGTTTCCCTGTAATGAAATAATAACAATAATTCTACAGAAATTATATGTAATACAAAAACGTATTTCCTTTTTAGTCCTTTGTTCAAAAATGTATATAACTATTGAGTATCAGAGTATCTTGAGATTTGCTGAGTGCTTGCATATCATATTTCCTAGAGTTAATGAAGTTATAGCCACTCCAGGAAAATGTAATAGTTGTTACAAATAATACTAGGTAGACCTACTGTTTACTATATTGTGCTGTGGCAAAGAATCCCTAGCAAACTGACTTGCTATGAATGTGTTTTGCTCGTAAACTTTCCGACTTATATGCTGTTTTTTTCCCAATGCTTCATTTTAAAAATACGATGATAAATGTCCATGAGTTTTTAAATTATCTTCCAAAATGATATTATTATTCAGGTATAATTAAGTAATTAAATTTCATTGTTATTTATATTAATTAATTAACCTTAATATTTTCCAGAACAGCTAATATTAGACTTTGGAAGGACAAACAACATTTTGTGATAATTATTATCACTAAACCAGCATCTTTAAAAAACAATCATTAACTTCAAGTTGGCGAATATCACCTACCAAACCACAGCTAAATTAACATATTTTTCATTTACAGTTTTCATTAGTTCTTAACATTAGACAAAAATCCTTGTTGAAAAGTTAAGAGTAGGGGCCAAGGATTTAGCTCAGTGGTTCTGGAGCCTGCCTTGCAAGCGCAAGGTCCAGAGTTCGATCCCCGGTACCAAAAAAAACAAACAGAAAAGTTAAGATTAGTTGACACGGCTTTAGAACTGTCACTGACTGAGCTCACACAAAAGCATATGCTAGCTGTTAAATACAACTAATAGGCTTTTACATTGTAATTTTAAAACATTTTTTCTGAGATTATGTTTTATTAGAGATTACAAACATCACATAACTTAACAGTATTTCTGACCACACACACATTTTGCCTTCAGAAAAGGTGAAAATGAAGTAACATTATAAATGAATAGGTTTATAAATTCTTGTGTTACAAATTTAAGTGACTTCCAACACTAAAATAAGACAAAATATTGTAAATACCTAACATCTTTACCTATAAATTAAAATGTTGATGCATTTTTTGGTAAAAGCTATTAAATGCTGGGATAATGACATAATCTATTTTACACTTTCAGTTTCTTCCTACATTTATAAAGATTGTGGTTTCATGTGATTTCAAACTGTAACATCATCATCATCATCGTCATCATCATCATGATGTCTCTGACTTTAAAATATTTTTATCAAAAAAAGTGATGATGAAAAGAAACAAAAAGGATTAGAACTCTCTTGTTCTTGAAATCAAAGAATCAATGAAGCTATACTGCTCTTAGTCTCTATTGCTTATCAGATTGGATCCTATTTTTACCACAGGTAATGCAGTCTTAAAATTAGATAACATTTAAATCCAAGATTTTTGACAAATCTATTTTTAGTCCCCTGAAAAGAAATCATAAATTCTGGCTTTGTACACAGCATTAGACAAGTATTCAAAGTATTCAATAAAGTTCAGTTGTATAAACAGCTCCACATATGTATTGTAGGTTTTGATGAAATAATCTCTCAACTATGTAATCATTCTTAAAGGTGGGCTGAGTCTAGACATCCAACTCTATTGTATGATGACAAACTTTTTAGTTGTATCTGACTGTACAGACCTGGCACTAGAGACAACCATCAGAGGAAAAACGATCAATTAAGAAAATACTGTTTTCTAAACTGCTAGGAAACCAGCAGAACTCTCTATCTCTGAAAATACATTCTCTAGAAACTTTGGGCTTGAATCATTGGTGGTTATCTGACAGCTAAGTCCTAGTCACACAAAGAAATGTATGTAATCAATACACCTGGTCGCCATCCACAAATCTTGTCAGGGATAAAACTCTATCCAATCCATATTAAAATTCTTTGAAATTCAAATTCTAGAAAGAAGAAAAATGTAGAACTACAATTTCATTCCATTTGGAAATAAAATGCACAGCCATTTCTGAAATGCATTTCATCTTAGTGAAAAAATTCAATAAGAGTTTTATAGAACGAGGAACCAGCGATTGATCTAGAACACCCTTAAGAAAGTATTTGCCAGGATGATACTCATTCCCACCAAGTTTCACCAATTCTTCCAATTTTTATGAATTTTCAAAGAAATTTTCAATTTTTAAAAATAGTGCTCGGCAATATTCCTTAACAAGAATAAAATCAATTTAATTGCTTAGAGTGAATGTTCTAAATGTAGCCTGGTGGAATAATTATTCCATCAAACCACTGTCAATCTTTTTTCCCAATCTTGCTCTTCTACATTATACCCAAAAGGAGGTGATTTATTTATGGTTTGGCAAAAATCTTGGACAGCAGAATAGATAGGGAAACCCTGACTCTCAAACAAGTACAGAGCCATTATTATTAAGAGAGAGTAAGGTAAAATGTTCATAAGAAAAAAATCCCAAATCAAACAAACAAAATAAACACCAATTAGTTATATTTAAGGGATACTCATTAAGAATAATGAGTTCAAATTCATTACACTGTTACATGAACTACAAGTGCTACCTATTACAGGAAGGCCCAATAATTGAAATGATTAGAAAATACAATGGAAAAGAATTCCTAGTAAAAGAATAAAGGTGCTAATTTGGGCAAGATCATATTCAAGGCAAATCCTATGGAAAAATTCTTGCTACTGTATCTTGTCTTTCAGTAGAGTAAGTATCCCCACAAACCACATCAGAAATAAATAGAACACTAATGGCATAAGAACCAACATATATATATATATATATATATATGTATATAAATCAAAACATCAACCTCACATATATCTGAAGGTGCATACTGTAATCTCTGCTTTGCCAAATTTCATTGTGATATTGTATTCAGTAACTTCACATCTCCTTAATACAACATCAAAGTGATGTGAGGGCCCTGAAAGGCTCTTTCGAGAAAACTTGTTTATTCTGCCTAACACCTCATCTTTTGGGTTTGTTATTCTTGGAAGATATCATCCTCGGGAGCACATGCCCACCATTAGAACATATACCATACTGCTACTTGGAGACTGTGTACCTGCCATTAGATTGTGTACATACCACAAGCACAGAAATTAACCAATTTTAAAACTAATTCAGCTTAATATATTTAATTTTCTTTCGTGCTTCCACAAACATAATCATTCACTGCAATGATCTGTTGCACTGCAGATATTTTACTTTCCTGTTTTACTTCCTTCCCTTACCCCCAACCTTTTCCTTTCCTTCCTTCCTTCCTTCTTTCCTTTTCTACCTGTTTGGACACTACTCATTGAGTCAAGTTTCCTGGTTTATTCTGGTGAGTTGAGTGCGGAGCACTCTCCTAGCAAAGAATCGGAGGAACATTTCTCAACAGCAGCTCTCAGTGGAAAAATCACTTCATAACACTCTGTGTTAAACTGTAAATGCCAACAGGAAAAGTAAATTGTTTCCCACTGCTTTTTCTCTGACTTCCTCCTTATTCACTAGGATGCTTGAAAAAAATTTTCTTTCTTTCCCCATCACTACAAGGGAAAGTAAAACCACACTGGAATTAAATAAAAGCTGTATTAAGTCATATTTAAGCATTAGTATAGAAGAAGGAACATTATCTTAGATCGTCACAAAAGCACAATGTCAGATAAGAGTCACAGAAATATTTTCAGTTGACCTTGGCCACAGCATTCTTTTTGGAGGTTTTTTTCCTTTTGGGGCTTTCCCAATTTGTACTCAACAATAAAGTTAGGGTTGGTTAATCAGTCCTTTTCTGTATATGTGCACTGTATGATTCAAAATAAAATATAAAATTTTCAACCCATCTTAAATGATCTGCTAAACAGTTGCATTTTATCCTGGTCTATAATGTGCTTAAAATGTGTAAAGGACAAAAGGAAAAATAGAATTTCAGTATCAAAGTAAGATCTCTATATAGTGTCCAAATTTGTAAGTGGTACACAGGCAAGGACTGGTATCTTGAACGTCGTCTTACATAATAAGTAGTCCATTCTTTGTATATATTCAGTTTAAAAATGATGCACACAATCTCACACTCATAAATACACTCAACCACACACACACACATATAAAAAAAACTTACACAATTTCATCGTTCTGGAATTCGAGCTCTCCACAGGTGTCCTCAAAGTCCTCCCCTCCACCTCTGGCAGTTCCTTCGATGGTTTTATAGGGAACAATAACATTTCCTCGAGCTCCAGATGTTCTCAATACTTTCACCTCCATGATGCCAATGCTTTCACTCACGTGGGTCACGGGTTCCTCAAAAGTAAAGATGCCTGCATGGTCATCATCAAAAATAGTAACAGTGGCAGTGCAGGGTGATCCAAGGCAAGCAAGGGTAGAAACATGGTTGGCTTCCAGTATGCCATCTTCTGAAGCCTCAGAAGATACTTTGACATTGCTCAGATGCACAAGGAAATTTTCATCCTCCTCAAAGATATCATCATCAATGATGCCAACTCTGATTTCCTTTTGTGTCTCACCAGGTTTAAAGACCACAGTTCCTTCAGTAAATTCATAATCAGACCCGGCATTGGCTGTGCCATCCTCTGTTCTGAAGTCAACAAACACAGTGTTGGTCAGATCGCCACCTCTACGGATAATGGTCAGGGCCACTGTACCACAGTTCTCCAGACACTGGTATGTCCCTTGCTCAAAGAAGATCTTACTAACGGGGTCATTGTCAGCCACTTCTGTGTTGACCTCATGCATACTGACAGCCTTCCTAGCTTGGTCAGCTGCATGCCTCTTTAAAATATTGCCAGCGCCAGTCATCAGGCGAGTAGCTTGAATTCGGTAAAATGCTCTACTCTTTTGCTGCTGACTTAAGACTTGGTAGTTAGCTAATTCTATTAATTGCTCTATTTCCTTCTCTGGGTGCTTCTGCTTAAGTTCCTTCAGAATCCTTGCCATTTCTCTCCTAGCTTCTTCATCATCTTGGTCCCTCTCATCAACCTCCAGAACCAGAGCACCATCTAAGAAATTTTCAACGTGAGAGTTGACTACTTTCCCATCCATTTCGATTTCAGTTTTGGAAGATGGCCTGTCACCTTCATGTTCTATAATCATTCCCCTCTGTTTGCCAGCCCGATAGCGCTTGTAGACATACTTGTAAAACAGAAGTCTCCTGTCTGCTACCCATGCGAACACAACACAGATGGGGAAGAAAAAGAAAGTAAGCAAACCTTCCCAGACCTCCACAACTCCAGGAGAAATGACAGACAAAATGATATAAAGCCAGGTATAGGCAAAGATGCTCCAGGCTGCTGTCACAAAGAACACACGCAAATGCTTAATCTTCCTTGTTTCTCCATCAGGGACCACATAAACACAAAGGGCAATGATGATAAACATGTTGAAGGCAGCGCTTCCCACAATGGTGCTAGGACCAAGGTCTCCTGCAGTGAAGTTATGGCCACACACTTCAATTACTGAAAGGAGAATTTCAGGAGCAGAGGATCCCAGGGCCATCAAGGTCAGGTTAGACACGGTCTCATTCCAGATCCTCACAGTTGTCTTGGTGGTCTCTCCATTGGGTTTCTTTATGGTTATTTCTTTTTCTTGCGATGTGATGACTTCGATGGAGGACATGAACCTGTCAGCTATGATAGAGACGCCAAGAAACATGTAGACCATGGCCACAAAATACACAGTTGCTCTAGCAATTTTGTCCCCAAAAGAAGGGTCTTGGGGCTCCCAAATGGGCAAAATCACCCCTTTCTTACAGTAATAGGAGCCAGTACATTCACCGGTTTCATTTCCTTCTTCCACCATTTCTGTCTCAGCAGTTATATGATCCACATGGGAAATTAGGAGAGCCATCATAGCTAGCAGATGAAACCCCAGTGAAAACGTGGGTGAGAGATTTAATCGCAGCATGTTGTACAATGAGATTTTCAAGTGTCCCAACCTACTGGTAAAAACAGGATAGGGGAAGGGATAGAAAAAGAAATCACATCATTAGAGCCAAATCCAAAGTGTGACTAATTGCTATTTTTTTTCATCACTATTACCAAAAATTTGTGTGTTTTGACCGTCATAAAAACCTCTGGTGAATCATTGTTCTAAGAATTAATCAGTGATTAAGCAATCCTTTGTAAAATTTACAGTTCAGTGTCTCTGATTGTGGATTTTCTACATGTAGTCCCATTCACCGAACAAGATATACAACTGAATTCCTGGAAATGAAAAGTCCAATTATAACCTGACCTTATTGAGTACACATTTATTTACACCAATAGCCACCAAGAAAGAACAGCAAAACTTTTGAAGCATTAAATAATTTCTTCTTTGTTGCTAAAACAGGTTTTCTTTTTAAATTCTGGTTACTATATTATCTTCAGGAAACTGTTTCATTGACAAAACCACCTTATTCGGTAGGATTCAGGCTTTCACATTCAGACTGAAAAAAACCCTACCAACGCAAAATGTGATATTTATCTTGAATACTGGAGTACACATAGCATTGTATTTCATGAAATCACATCCTACTGATCTAAATTTACTTGAAAACACTGATAAGACTTTAAGCTTCTCTCCAAGTCAAAACTCAATAGTATCAGTTCTTGAGAAGAAAAGTATTCCACTGTCATGCAATATTTCCACACAGAAAGCAGGTTTTAAAAGCATATTTTGATGAGAGCACATTTCTTTCTAATTTTCAGTCAAGCCCAGGTCTGCTGATGCATCAGATCTGGGTATTCTTGATTCTTCAAGCACAGCCCTTCACATCTGTGTTCGTAGCCCACTTTAGAATCTGTAGGCTGTCTGCAACAGGAACAAGAGATAACCAGCCCTGAGCCTAGCTGTGTGTAATCAGCATTACCAGCCATAAAATGTTCCTTCTTGCTGTCAATGTCATACTTTCCATGGTCAATCCAAAACACATATTACTTCTATAGCGGGCTCAAGTGACCAAAATATGCAGGAGCAATGATTCCATCTAATTTAGCTCATGTGGCATAACAACAGTGACCACAAAGTATACGTATGTTGACGGGCTGGAGGCAATTAGGGATATGGCAACAGAGTCACAAAGCGACACAAAGAATGGTAAGCAAAGTAATGGACAGAGCCACTGCAGCCCTAAATTCATGCACCACCTCATGCAAAACACCTCAGATCTCACATCAACTCTGCCTCCAGGGCTGGGGGCACTGTGGTGAGGGTGGGGCATGGACAGTAAAGAAGGGGAAGGTCTGTAAGTCTTCTTTGGAAGGCTTCAAGGAGGGACCCATGGTGATATCCATATGTGGGGAGAGGAAAGAGCTCCAGAGTCAGAACACACAGCCTGGTACCCTGGAAAATGTTAACAGACAAGCTGGGTTAGAGGTTGTCAGAGTTCCCCGATGGCTGAGAGCCACCCATTTGCACCCATGTTCTCTGGCCTACATTTGCTACTGATGGCTTACAGTAAAAACCGCATGATGGCCAGGAGAATCCCCCTGCCGGACACATTCTGATGGACCCTTGGAGATCCTATAACAGCTACGAGCCTTGTAGACTACCACTAGTGAGAGATAGGATTCCTTGAGATTTTTCAATAATACAGCAGACAATAAGAGGGTTGTAGTGGTAGATATTCAATCTAAGTAAAAGGGTGACAAAGAGAAGAAACACTTTCAAAGTATGTAAAAGCTCATGGTCAGACTGCCTGCTTATTATGGTCACTGCAGAGTTTGAGTGACTTTGAGGATCTCTGCTTAAATCCAGGTAACATTCAACCAGCCTGCAAGAAGAGTGGAAGATCTAGTTCTAGCTTCCTTATGCATCCATTTATGCCACAGATATTTATGTGTGCCTAATACGAATTTCAGAATGACTTGCTAGGCTCACTTCCAGTCCTGAGGACTCACTGATGAATAAAAGAAAGTCTCTGTTCCCACTGAGCGTACATCCTAGTAAGGAGAAAATAAACAAAATAATTCAATATAAATGTCAGACAGTAAACAGTGCAGTAGTGGGGGCAAGGCAAACTCAACCTAACAAGGACAGGGACTCTGTGTGTACGCTGCACACGTAGCATACATGATTTTATACTAGCTGATTAAAGAAAGCCTCTCTGATAAAGTAACATTTGAGCAGGGTCCTAAGGGAAGCCAAAAATCAAGCCTTACGGATATCTGCAAGAAGAGGATTTCTAGCTAATACAAAGGTCTCAATGACAATGTGCCTGGTTAAATCTAGAACTACAGAGAAACCAAAGTCCCAAGAAGGAAATTCAGGAGGAGGACAGAGCCAGAGTGGGTCACAGTGGGAATGGATCACAGGAGCACTGAGACCACAGCAGGGTATTGACTTTCATGAGTGGGAGATAGGAAGCTAAGGGAAGTTCTGATCTGAGTGTGACATCTGATCTTCCTTTTAGAAGGGACACTGCTGCTCTGATGAAGACTACACCACGGGGGCAGAGGTAGAAACAAGGGGACCCAGCTCTTGCCTGCTGTGATAAAATTGGATTTAAAAGTGATCGCAGTGCCTGACAAGCAGACAAAATGATACAGCACACCGCTAACATTTAAAAAAGCAGAACAGTTGCAGGGATCCTTTTGGAAGATTTGCAACTTAAAATGTCTTGGGTACCTATAAGGATCAGAAAGGTTAAATATATGTAATGAACAATGGCTCTGAAAAGAGATAGCAAACACTAAAGATTCAAACCCGTGTCTGTCTCCAAGACTGATATAATCAACCACTCCCTTTAAATTACTGCCAAACTCAGCATTCCATTTTTCGCATTTCAGACAAAATGAATTTCCTAAAGATCATGTGTGATACTCCCACATCCCTTAAAACTCATCCTTGGTTGGCTACTATGTATTGCCCTGTCAAAGTTCAAACTCCTCAATACTCTGTTCAGAACCTTTTATGATCTGACCTCTGAACTACAGTATACAGAAATTCTTTCCATTCCCTTAATAAGACAACACTTTCTCATGTCCAGGTTTTGCATAGTGTTTTCTGTGCTCAAAAATCATTTTGCTCTTTTGTTCTTAGAATCAAGTTTCCAAGAAGAGCCCAACAACAAATCATAATCAATTTCCTGAGAAATGAATATAATATTCATTCCATAACAGTGCTCTTAGTTTCATGCTGAATTCTTTGCGTGCATCAATTACAACTAATATTTACAATAACCAGTATTTCTGTGTTACAAAATTCCTAGTGTTGCCACTTTCATTCTAGCCTTTGTAAACAGCACCCACTGGAGTTGTGCAGTACGCAGGATCCAACAATGAAACTATATAGTGGTACTCTTAGCCCATTTTTAAAGTGGGATAACCAAGGCTTAGATAGGTTAAAGATCTGTCAAAAGACATATAGATAAAAGACTCCTGAATTAAGATTCAAAACCCTGGTCTGTTTCCAAGACTGATGTAATTAACTGTTCCACTGTATTACCCCTGATAGTGTGCAAAATAATCTTTGACAACTATTGGACTTTGACTTGAACTAGCCCTTCAGTGCTGGGTTAGGAGGGCCTAGTTAGCAACAGTGTTTTGGAAGGTTTCCAACAGCCTGGCTTTTATCTATCTTATGGATTAAAGACTCAAGTATCAGTGACTGGTGTAGTATGAGAGGTAACATGTGTCTAGAGACAGCTGTCTTATGCTCCTTGGCCTTTAAGCAGTTGCCTGGCAACCTTTTCCTGTGTGAGCTGTCACAGCAAACTCTTAGGTCAGCCAAGAAAGTGTGCTGCCCTCTATCCCTGCTCTAGCCCATAGGTCACAGTGTTTTCAGTCAACATACTGACTCGATTGATCAGTAAAAATCCAACATCATTCTCAGAGACAAAAAAGAGAGGGGCTTCTAAGGTTACCTAAAAATATCATAATTATATTCAAAAAGTGACAGCATTATAATTTCTGAAATCAGTGGACACAAAACACTGATGTAACTTATTGGCAATGAAGCAACTGGAAAGAACTCTCCAGAATTCATTTACTTTCTTTATCAAAATTAATACCAAATTCAAAGGCTCGTGAGGCTGCGGGATATGTGCCTTCTAATGTAACTTCCCATTTTTCTCCTTTTGTCTCATTTCTTTCAGGGTCTTCCTCCCATCATTTAATTCAAGAAGTTCTACTTAACCTTCCCCCATTGCCCCTCAGACATATATTTACATGAAAATTAAGCAGGAAGATAAGGACAGAGGACATAGATATGTTCATTTGTGGCCTGGACTTATATTTTGCCTTGATTTCCTGAATGCTGGAACAAGGAACAGGTTGATTTTTTTTTTTTTTTTTATGGATTCAGATCAGCTCTTCTATCTAAGGCCAGTGATCACTTAGAAAGATCGACTTAGGAATACCCACATTGTCCAAATGAGTCTTCAACACAGTAAATACCAAGTACTTACTGGTATCACTATTTATTTTAAAACCAAACAACATTATTAGCTACAGATTAAAAACTTGATTGGCACTGAAAAAAGATGGTAAAGAAGATATCCAGCTGCCAGGAATCTAGCTACTAAAATCTGCTGAGAGAGAAGGATGAAGATACAAGGAGTATTACTCTCCCCTAAAGAAGGATAAATTTGAGTCATTTGTAGGAAAATGGATGCAACTTGAGACCATAATGTTAAGTGAAATAAATCGACCCACAAGGTTAAATATCACGTGGTTTCTCTTACACGAGAATCCCAATGTATAAATACATCAAGAGCAAAATAAAAGATCAATAAAGAGGAAACAGGGACATAGATATTTTCCAAGTGGAAGGAAGACCAAGAGATGGAGGGGGAGGAGGGGAAAGAAACGTAAAAGAATTAAAATGTGTCACGTACACTGCCAATGACCCACAAAGAATATAATCATGAAATCTTGGAAAAAGGTACTAATAAGAATTTTAGAAAGAAAAGGAACATAGCTGCAAGACAGATGTTTGGAAAGGATAAGGAAGGGCTTC